TCCAATTGAATTTTCAGTGTTTTTTTTTTTCTAGAAAAATAATTTGATGTTTTACTTTTTTTTTTACTTTAACTGGTTTCACTTAGCTTTCCAAAATGTTTTTGACTGTTTCTATCCCCAAGTGTTGATACTTATGTTTTGTACCAATGAAAAAAATGAAAATCAATTTGCATAACTGGTTATATATGTCATTTATGGTAATGAAAATACGGTAGAATCTGTTTATGCAATGAATTACATATTGGCTTGAACTTGTTGATGAAAAATGTCTCTTTCTTAATCCACCTTTGTTCAGTGGTTCTGTAGTTGCACTGGTAGAATAGGAAGACACTAAAATTTGGCAGATTTTGTCCTCCACATTCCTTTATATGTTAAGGGGTATTTTTCTGGTGCGGGGATCCCTATTTTGTTGGCGATGAACTTTCAGTGACTGGTCCATTTGGTCAATGTCGTGGTCATGGAAACCTTTGCATGTAATTATGTATATTAAATTCTCTGAGTCATATGAGGAATCATTCTTAATTTTGAATTTGGATCTGTCTTTGAAATCGTATATACAATCCATCATTATAGATGCTGAAAAAATGGTCGGTTCTCTGTACCACTCTAGCAAGTACCTGACTCTTCTTGCCACACTTTACTTTTCCAAGAGCCACATTGGACAAAACACGTCAGCAATTACTAGTTTTCCTATTGTCATTTTATTCACACACATATATATATATATATATATATATATATATATATATATATATATATATATATATATGAAATCTAGAAGTTATGAGTATAAATAAACCTCAACTATTTATATACATACTTCCTCCAATCACCCAACCAGCATAAATAAGCAGATGTAGATTCTCTGGCCATAAATAACCCTCAACAATTAATCCTTTCATGACCTACATACACAACTTGTTATATATACAGCCCTCTAAAAGAATAGTGACACTTGGTCTGAAGATCTCTTTAATTTGTTTTCTGTGGTTTATCAACACTTTCAGGTTATTTAAAGCCAGAAAATATTTTTAGATTGTAAGAACATTTTTCTTTTTTTTATTGAGATAATAATGGTTTAGTTATACAAGCTTTACTAATTAACCCATATCTTGGTTATTTGTGCATAAATGAATATAATAATCCCATCAGAAATTGGAATTTTCCTCTCTGATTAACAATTCTGAGTCACCCACACATCCAAGCTTACAGCAGCTATATGGTATTTACAAGTAGTCCCCCTTCTAGGTACTGACCAAGCTCAACATTGCTTAACTTTGAAGGTTATTGAAACATGAAATTGATAGTCACAATGCAGTATTAATTCTTATATTGCATTATATATATATATATATATATATATATATATATATATATATATATATATATATATATATATATATATATATATATATATATATATATATATATATATTATTTTTAAAGAAAAACAGACCACTTTAAGACTACATTAGTTATAATTTATTTCACCAGAGAATTATATATATATATATATATGTGTGTGTGTATGTATATTATGACCATAAAATGGTTTTAAAGAATAAAAGGTAGCAAAAAGACTAAGGTATTCATTTCCATTACAAAAGCTAAAGAGTTCTGAAAGTCACTTACAGTTTGGTAAAAGAAATTTTAACAAGTGTATTTGCATGTAGCCTGTAATAGAGGTACATAGATTATTCACTTTAAATGTATTCAAGCAACCGTGACAGATACACAGGGTGTGATTGATATATTGTAGTCTAAATTATGTAAAAATGAAAATAACACTGACATTTCATTTTAACTTATATTTACCAAAATTACACAAAAATATCTTGAAATACTAGAGTAGATTTATTCAGTAATATTGCCATTGGCTTCAACCACGACCTTCAGATGACTTTGGAATCTCCTGCAACTCTTCTGGACAGTTTCCTTGTTAAAGTTGGCAAATGCTGCCATAATCCTTGTGTTCAGTTCATCTTTGGTGTTACAAGAAGTTTTCTCTTGTTCAACCACACCCCACACATCATAATCAAGGGGTTACATTCTGGGGAGTTAGGTGGCCAGATGTAAAGGGTGATGTGGTTGCAGTAATTGTCTGACAGCCTTGACTGGGTTCTCCTGCTTGTGTGGCATGGTGTACAGTCTTGTTGCAAGACATAGGGTTTTCCAGCAGCCACCCTCTGGACCCAGGGCAGCAATACCTCCTCAAGGCACTTGATGTAGATCTCCATGTTCAATCTGAGTTTTCAATTCTGTCTTTCTATTATTTTTCAATTGTCATTCTATTATTTTTCTATTCTGTCATTCTATTATTTTTCAATTCTGTCATTCTATTATTTTTCAATTCTGTCATTCTATTATTTTTCAATTATCATTCTATTATTTTTCTATTCTGTCATTCTATTATTTTTCAATTCTGTCATTCTATTATTTTTCAATTCTGTCATTCTATTATTTTTCAATTGTCATTCTATTATTTTTCAATTCTGTCATTCTATTATTTTTCAATTGTCATTCTATTATTTTTCTATTCTGTCTTTCTATTATTTTTCAATTCTGTCATTCTATTATTTTTCAATTCTGTCATTCTATTATTTTTCAATTCTGTCATTCTATTATTTTTCAATTCTGTCATTCTATTATTTTTCAATTCTGTCATTCTATTATTTTTCAATTCTGTCATTTTATTATTTTTTTTCAATTCTGTCATTCTATTTTTTCAATTCTGTCATTCTATTATTCTTTTTCAATTCTGTCATTCTATTATTTTTCAATTGTCATTCTATTATTTTTCAATTCTGTCTTTCTATTATTTTTCAATTCTGTCATTTTATTCTGTCATTTTATTCTGTTATTCTATTCTTATTATTTTCTATTGTTATTCTTTTCTATTATTCTTTTTTTATGAAAGAATATTTTCAGATGTTTAGAAATTCAAAAAAAAGCCAGTCTAATAGCTGAACTCGTTTAGTCATAGAAGGGATTGTGTATCATCTAACTATGTCAATGGTTAGTAATCAAGCAAAGAAAAGAGGAAGATACCAGACCAAACATTTGTTTTTGAAAAGTGCTGGACAGTAATATCAAATACCTGAAGCTGACATGTAAACAAGATTGAAGTCTGCAGGAATCTCAAGTGCTCTCAAATAACATTTTCTCAAAGAGGTTCCAGACGATAACTCATTTCAAAATAAACCAATTCCACTTATGACTCAGATTTACACACAGTCACCAACAGTGTAATTTATTCAAATGGTTTAACTTTCAGATTGGTACTGAAAAAGGTTTATATACTTAGCATTAGATTAACATTTCAAGATGATATGTAAATAAGGTAGAAGTCTTATAAGAAGCAAGAGCAATATTTGTGGTCTGCCTGTAAAACATCTGGTGTTCAAGAGACATTGATGTGTGTTCACACACCTCGTTATTTGTGTAGACTAAAAGAAATGAGCTGTACTCACTCATGTGCCTTTTGAAAGGTTGAAGCCATGAAAATTTGACCTCATAAAACATATTCAATTTGTTACATTAAAAGAAAAGAAAACAGTAAAATGTAAATAACAAAATTTTATATTCCAGAATTTGTCAAGATATTTAAAAAAAAGTTTTTTTTTTATTTTTTTTCATACAACAGGAAATATACTAGACATAGGAAAATGTTATTGCTTCATTTAAGTCTGCAATTATAGTAACTCTATCATGTGAACTGGCTACTTTATATTTTTATTTATACCTGGCATGTGGACATAGTAGTAGACATAAAATTTTCATGAATGTTTAACAGAAAAATGTAAGTGAATACTTGAAGAGTATAAAATTTCTGATAACTATACATGCATAACATGTTTGTGGATTAATAATTTGTTGTTTTAAATTCTGTGTAATTTTGTCTTTCTACATAAATTAAAAGTTAATTAAATTTTGTGTTGGTATCCACTTAATATGCATATTGTATCTTATTAATAATTTACAATGAAAAGAGGTTATTATTGTGTTTGAAACTGATTAATTGATAGAATATATTCTAATAATGTCCATTATAATTTGTGTCAGTCTAATTTGTTCATTATACCAAATATTAATGTTCTGAGTATGGTGATAAACTACATCTGCCAGCAAGGTCTCACATTGATAGGTTTTGAGTAACATGGAAACATCTTAATTGCTGTTGTTCCTATGTTCGCCCTTGGAAGCACATTTTAGTGTCCCAACTATGGGAAAATAGTTAACCTCTAAACAGGGGTCAGAACACTATGAAAGTATAAAAATACATTTTCATAGTTGACAAGTGCAGTCATAAAAACAGCCATTTAATAATAGTCATTATAACAATAATTATAATAATGCAGTTTATTTCAGATGTTTTGTGGTTCCTTTTTTTTAAATACATTTTCATAGTAAAAATATCACCAACAATACATTTTTGTAAATGGAATTGCTAATGCTCCCAAGAAAATTAACTTTTGACATTAAATAACTCATAAGGAGTTGATATACTGCTAAACAAACAAATTATTTAAGTTATATTGATAGGATTTACTCTTTGTATAAAACTAATTAGTAATAATTACTAGTCATGGTGGTAGTAGAAGTAATAATCATAATATTAAACAAATAACTTGTTACACCAACTGTCGACAAGTGCAGTCTTAAAAACAGCCATAATAATAGTAATAAAAATAGTAATTATAGTAACGCAATTTATTTCAGACATTTTGTTTTCTTTTTTCTTTTTTTTAAATACATTTTTATAGTAAAAATACCAGCAATACATTTTCATAATAAAAATATTACCAGACATATATTTTTGTAAATGAAATTGCTAATACTCACAAGAAAATTAAATTTCAGCATTAAATGACCCATAAGGAGTTGATATGCCACTAAACAAACAAATTATTAAAAATTATTTAAAATTTCCCTTTGCAAATACTACATATCTTTATACTGCAAGCTGAAGTCAAGGGTCTACTGGTTACCATATGGATTGGATGTTTATAAAAATTCTTTTGAAGAATGATATTTATGTGAAAAGCTTCAAGTAACAAGTTCATTCACTGTGTCATGCCAGACAATTTTTCTTGTCCGAATCCATATCTGTCTATATTTTTGAGATGAGATATTGTAATTATTTACATTGTTCAAACTGTTGTCCTTATCTTTGTTGTCATATTCATGACGTCTCAACCATTGTACGCTCCTCACATATGGTCTCCCCAAAATTCACAAACATTGTATTCTGTTCAGGCCAGTTGTTAGTTGCCAAGGCTCTGTATGCCACCTTCTGAGTCTTGTGTCACTTCTTTGCCGATATAATTGACCCATTAATAAGAAAGTCGTCTTCATATGTCTGAAACTCTGCACACTTCATGGAAATAATCAAAGATGCCCCCAGCCAATCCAACCAGACAGCAAGCCTGGATGTGGTGAGTTTGTTCATCAAGATACCCATGGAGGAGGCACTATTGGTAGTCAGGGACAGACGAGCCTTGGACTCAACCCTAGAAGACTGGATCAGTATACCAATAGATAACCTGATAGAGATGCTGACTTTCTGTACACAAAAAACACATTTCAGAATGGGATCACACATATATCAACAGAATGAAGGCTTAGTAATGGGCTTGCCATTATCACCAGTAATGGCAAACATATACATGGAATACTTCAGAGAAATGGCATTAGGATCCACATCACTAAATCCAACTCTATGGCTGAGATATGTAGATGACACCTTCATAATCTGGCCACACCAAGAAGAGGTCCAGCTACTAATGGACCATGTGAACTCAATAAGATCATCAATACAATGGAGAGAGAAAATGACCACAAACTCACCTTCCTGGATGTACTAATATCTCAAACAGAGCATGGGTTCAAGATCTCCATATTCCGCAAGCCAACATTCACCAAACAATACCTCCAACTCCCACCACTCATACAGTATGAAAGGGATCGTCCGCTGCTTATAACATTAAGCAAAAGTCATAAGTGGCAATCCAGAGACATATTAACAAGAAATGGTTAGTATAAGCAGTATCCTACAATATAACAACTACCCTAGGTACATGGCAGCAACTCCAACAAAGGATACAAGAGGATAACACTCAGAAAACAGCTTCAGTGTGCCTACCCTATGTAAAGGGATTATCAGAAAAAAATACAAAAAGATCTGTGGTCCATATAACATCAGGACAACCTTCAAAAGTGGTTCAACATTTTGCAGGCACCGCTTTCAAGTAATACCACCCTGCCCCAGAGAACATGACTAAGGACTACATATATGCCATACCATGCAGCTGTGGTAAGAAATATAAAGGAGAAACAGGCTTCCCCCTTAAGCTAAGACTAAAAGAACATCATAAAGGAGTGACACAAGGGGAAATAGAAAAATCAGGTGTAGCTGATCATATATGAAGGGAAAAGGGAGATTCATATACTGATGTCCTCAAGGACACATGACCCAGTGGATAAAAGCATTGGATGGATCCAGTGACTTTGACCCAAACAGTTGTGAGTTCAATACCTGGCTACTGCAGTGGTGAACAAAAACTTGAAGAGTTGAGTTAAAATAAATTAACTGAGACATCCAGAAGAGTCATAGCACATGGAACGAGGACAATCTACCTTGGTCGTTCAGTTAGAAATTCTAATCACTTGAAGAAGCCCGAAACATCGGAAATACAGCAATAAAGATGAGGACAACCAATTATATTTTATAAATTTACCATTCAAATGGGCATAGAATATCCCACTATAAATCTCGAGATTCTCTATATCCTGACTTCAGTTTAGTCCTGGGTATGACAATAAACTACATCCAGCAGCAAGACCTCTGATTGGATCTGATCATTTTGAGGAGCTTGTTGTTTCCAAGTTGTACCCTGACCCAGCTATGGGCAAATAATAAATCCCAAACAAAACATTATGAACATATAAAAATATAAGCAATATATTTTTATATGAATAATTACCAACAATAAACCCATACTAACAAATTGTAGTGACTTCACCTAAATCCATTTAAAATACTACCAAACAGCCAATATGAAAGAACTCTTTCATGATATTAATCCATATAATATCTTAAAGGATTCTAAACTATTCCAAAATATAAATTCAACAAAACTACAACATAAAACCCACATATGGCTTCCGTCTCTCTTTTCTATAAATATTTTTATGGCAGTTGTTTTAATCAGTTCTCCTTCTTAGTACCTTAACTGCATGAATTTAAGCAAACTACTAGATTGGCAACTCTGTCGTGTTGTTTGCTGTCGAAATAACTAGATGTAACTTCCTCCTCTTTCTTGATACCAACCTTTTCCCTCCCACTTCAACTCAGTCGTTTCTTTCTCCCCTCTTTCCTCCCACTTCAACTCGGTCGTTTCTTTCTCCCTTCTTTCTCCCCTCCTCCCACTTCAACTCAGTCGTTTCTTTCTCCCCTCTTTCCTCCCACTTCAACTCAGTCGTTTCTTTCTCCCCTCTTTCCTCCCACTTCAACTCAGTCGTTTCTTTCTCCCCTCTTTCCTCCCACTTCAACTCAGTCGTTTCTTTCTCCCTCTTTCCTCCCACTTCAACTCAGTCGTTTCTTTTCTTTCTCCCTCTTTCCTCCCCCTTCACCCCAAACCTTTCTTTCTCCCCTTTTCCCTTCAGTCATTTTTTCTCCCCTCTTTCCTCCCCACTTCAACGCAGGCCTTTCTTTCTCCCCCTTTCCCCGCCTTTTCCAGCAGGGCCTTTCTTTCTCCCCTTTCCCTCAAGGCTTCAACGCAGGCCTTTCTTTCTCCCCTTTCCCCCGCAGGCCTTTCTTCCTCCCCCTTTCCCTTCAACGCAGGCCTTTCTTTCCCCCCCTTTCCCCCTCTTCTAGCGCAGGCCTTTCTTTCTCCCCCTTTCCCTCCCCCTTTCCCTTCTTCAACGCAGGGCCTTTCTTTCTCCCCTTTCCCTCCGCTTCAACGCAGGCCTTTCTTCCTCCCCCTTTCCCTCGCGCTTCAACGCAGGCCTTTCTTCCTCCCCCTTTCCCTCGCGCTTCAACGCAGGCCTTTCTTCCTCCCCCTTTCCCTCTTTCTTCCTCCCCTTTCCCAGCTTCAACGCAGGCCTTTCTTTCTCCCCCCTTCCACCTGCTCATTCTTCTTTCTCTGCTTTCCTCTATTCTCCCTTCCTCTTTCAATTTCTCTCTTCCCTTTTCTCTTTCTTCTGCTAGTTTTCTCTTATTCTTTCTTTACTCTTCAGATTTAACACTCTTTCCCCCACCCACCCAGACCTGTTCTTCAATTTCCAATTTCCAAAGAAAATTAAACAATTTTTCACTCATATTCTAGTTATTTAGTTTCATATTTATATGAAAAAAAATATATTTTAATATAAATTAATAAATCTAAATTCTTTATAAATTTATATATTTTTATATTATTATGAATATATTGAGTTGCTTTATACTTTCTATCTTTTTTTCCTACTGAAAAGAATGGCTGTTTCCTCTTGTGAGGAGAGATATTATTTTTTTCTCAAGAGAAGCTTATTTGTCTATTAATTAATATGGAAAACCTGATAAGTCTTGCTGAAGGAAATAAGAAAACAATTTGTGCTCAAACTTGAAACACAAGAATAGATAAAGAAAATAAAAAAAATAGGCTGTGAATTCAGCAACTGTGTGTGTGTATGTCTATATTTCTAAGATGAGGTATTATGTACACTATTTACATTATTCAGACTATTGTCCTCATCTTTTTCACCATATTTATTACAACATTTTGGCTGTTGTATGTTCCAGCCTTCTTCAGGTGGTTGGAATGTCAATGTCAAATGGTTTAGTCAAATATTTCTAAGATGAGGTATTATATACATTATTTACATTATTCGGACTATTGTCCTCATTTTTTTCGCCATATTTATTACATTTCAACCATTGTACACTCCAGCCTTCTTCAGTTGTTTAGAATGTTGAACTGAACCCTTTATTTCGCTGTCTATATATCCTCAAGAACACATGGCACAGTGGATAATGGTGTTAGTTAGAGCCAGTGACAGGACCCATAAAGTGTGAGTTCAATACTCGGCTAAGGCAGTGGAGAACTTTCAGAGGGAAAATTAACAGGAGATAACTGATAACTGACATCCATCAAACATGACACGTGGAACTAGAACAGTCTACCCCAGTGAGCAAAAGGAAATGTTTAAATATCTTTCGTAGTGCCAGACTGATAGCAAATTATTACTGGTAAATAAAATGATACTACTAGCTGGACCTCCATCTTGCTGTTTCTTCCTATGACAAATTTTATTGGCTGGAGAGTTGTTGGCCAAAGAAGATGAAATAAAAATCACCACTAACTGTAACAATTTAAATATCCTGGAAGATGTTTAACTGGGGACAAAAATTGTGACACTGAAATCTGAAGGTACATTGGGCTAGCAAAAGATGCCTTCCAAAAGCTAAGCAAAATATTAAGAAATATGAAAATCTCATTGGAAACAAAGAAAAAGTATTTAACTGTTACATAATGTCAGTCCTATATGGCAGTGAATGCTGGACAATCTCATCCCAGATGGAGAAGAGACTTGAGGTAAAAGAACTGGGATTCTACAGAAGGATGCCATGGAATGAATATGTGAGCGATTTCGAAATTCTCTGGAAAATGGAAACAAAATGGACCCTTATACTTTATACTTTAGGTTATAAAAATGCTGGACAATCTCCTCACAGATGAAGAAGAAACCTGAAGCAATGAAAATGTTTTTTGACAGAAAAATGTTGAGGATACCATGGACCGAACATGTGAGCAACAACGAAATTTTAGAGAAACTAGAAATGAAAAGGACACTTATAAGTAACATCAGGAAGAAGCAGTTGATATTTCTAGTGCAGTCAATGAGGAAAGAGGGCTTCAGAAATTTGATACCCACAGAACAAATTGGAAGCAATAGGGACACAAAAAAGCAATGCATAATGTACCTAACAAGCTTGTGTAAATGGTTGGCAAATCAGGGATTA